TGTAACAGATTGCAGAATAAATTAAATTAAAAAAAAAAAAAAAAAAAAAGAAAGAAATGCTTCCTTAAGTTCGTGTAATGCTAGTGAGGCAAAATCTTAGCAATTGTTTCAAAATAACAGAATTTAAGTTGAATAGAGGACTTTGTAGGTAGTTGTACTGCCTGCACTGAATACGACCTGATACCAAACAGAAGTGATTCCTTCTCAATTGTAAATATAAATCCAATATAAGTTTGCAAATGAAAATACTAATTCAAATATAAAATTAGTTAAGTGAGTTTTAAACTTTAGCAATCAGTCCCATTTGAGATATAGTAAAATATAACCACAACCAGAGAAAACAACGTTTGAGTTTGAAAACTACCCCTCCCCTATGTATGTATCAGTACAGTAAAGTTTTTGGAAACAAATTTTTGCATTTATGAAAAAATCATATTTTTCTTGACAATGTTTGGATTTTTTTTTAAAAAAAATCAGGTTAAAAATAAATACACGTGGTATCTTAAACCTCTTCCTCTCCTTCCGTGATGTCTCATGATTCTTTGTCAAATCCTCTCTCCCCCTAAAAGCCTCACGCCTCACCAGTTAGAAGGTGAAGATTTAACAATTCATGGTCATTTTGTAGTTTTTTGAAAATTATATTTTACTTTTTCTTGCATGTTATGTATTTACTTTTACCTATATATTGCATATTTTACTTTAACTTGCCAATTGCATCGATTAGTGTAAGAGGGAAATTCTATTATATAGGTACATTATTACTATATTGATATTGTATCTTAGTTCAATTTTAATTACGTCTTTGCATAAGCGTGCCCGGAAAACTATTTTTACTCTAAAGTATAATTAATCTATATATTTAAATTAAAACGATATCAATTCTGCTTGACATCAGGTTTCACACAACGCGGGACTTGAAATCAAAACCTTATGGTTGCAAGGTCATAATTAGTATAGACGATTTCAGAAAATATGTAACATTGAAACATAAAACCCAATCATATAGCAAACGCGTCAAAAGTATCGACATATCATACCTATGTGACATTAATTATCAATAGCAATAAATATGTTAACTTCCCGAAGGAAAAAGTTATATTTTTGCGAAAAAATCCGATTTCGTAATTTTATGTTTTCTTGACGTTTCCAGTTTTCCAAATGTGGTCTCATCCGATTCAGAATGACTTAATATGTCGAGAAAACATTAGCAAATTGAATTTATTTATGACAACACACTTTTCCTTCGGGAAGTTAATAATATATTTATTAACCTTCGGAAAATCAACTAATATATTTATTATTTTTTTAAGAATAGCTTAAAGAATTATATGTAATTTGATTGCCATTTGTTAATAAAAAAATTTTTAACTCTTAACTGACATATAAAATAGATAAATATATATTTTTTTTTTGACTCGTTTTATTTAGCAATCAGAAATACATAAAGATTTCTATGAGCTAAAATGATAATGTAAGAGCGATGCCTAAGAAGAGCTCCAATGAGATCTTCTCAGTTTAACAATTACTATAATAATATTATATCAGACCTAATCTAAGACTAAGTCTAAGGCCATTGTCGTTTCAATCTTCTTGTAAAATATAAAATTGAAATGCCATCTTTTGTAAAACAAAATAGTAATAGTAACAATTGTCACAGGTGACAATACCAACAACACTTGTTTTAAATGATTTTGCTAATGTTGTTACACTTTGCGCGTGCATTACCGCCCTAGAGATTACCACTTTATAAGGTGTCAAAATGGCGAAGTAAACAGACCATTCTAGTATTATTTTAAGCATTAGCATCATTTTTGTCTGGTATGTGCTACAAATATCGAAAATTTTGAATTGAATAATAAATATTGTGTGTGAAATAAATAACATTGTGAATTTAAAAACAAATATCATAAATTAAATAAAAATTAATTTCTTGCGAAGACTTGCTTGTGGTCGTGTAATAATTTTATCAAGTTATTTTCATGAAGTTCATTTTTAAGTGCAGATTAATATAATTTAGAAAAGCATTTGAACAAAATGTGAATATTACTTGCAATAATTTTTGAATAGTATGAAAGTGTTTGTGTGACTATGAAAAATCTGTATATTAATTTATTAGGACTTTATGTGGTGATGCGTTTACCGGGTTATTTTATATATTATATTAGTGTCGTCGGTGTCAAACTTTAATAGTGTGCAAACAAATTATGGCGTTTTGAGGTAAGTGCTAGTTTATTATCATGTGAACTTTTCAAAGTCGTGAAAAAATTTGTGAAAATAAATTAGACAGTGCTAATTTCATCTTCAATAGTTTACTAAATGCATAATATTAACATACCTTCAACAGCAAGTTGAAGTTGGATTCGAACAATGAATCCCCAAAAAGAATCGGATTTTATTATTTTATCAACTGGATATAAAAAAAAAATTGTCGAATTAAATCATTTATTTGCAACTAATGTAATTACTATTTATTAATTAATAAAACATAAATAAAATCGTAAAATAAATTCTAAATTCACAATTTCAATTAGCATTATGCCATGAAAAATCAGTCAATGAAACACTATATAATAATTAGTCTTTCCAGAAGTTTATCTAAATATTTAAACGTCGTTTTTTTTAGTTTAGCGGTAGTCAATAGATGTAAATAAAAATTGATAGAACTAATTAGGATCAAATTGTCGATTTAGAGATTTGATTAACTATAATACTCGTTTATTTCACGATATAAGTATAGGTAGATGGTATTCTATTATCAAAGTCAATTTGCATAATTAGAATATATAATTTGTTTAATAACAATTAACTTAATTGAATGATATTAACTATTGCAATGTGTTTTTGAATTAGCGTTAAGATAGTAATAAAATAATTTAATAACTAATAAAGAAGAAAAATTTTGACAAATCTTCTCAGAAACGGTTACTTGCGTTGATGCTCAGCTTTCTGTGTATGGACACATTATTGGACAATGAACAAAAAGTTATTGGATTGATTTTCTTGGTTTTTATTTCGAAATCGTTTTGAGTGTTTATGCCTTAAAGGAAATTTTTTATTTTTACACACATAAAACATTTTGATTCTATGTATAGGTCAACAGTCAACCTTCTTATAACATGATATCTTGAAAACACGGTTTCTATACTACGCGGTGCTGAATTTACGACCGCCCTCTTATAACATGGTCTAGTTCAGCTTTTGTTCCACTTTTTTATCATAATTTTATATGAAATCAATTCAATAAAATTAATTTATATTTTTTATCAAATATTTATATAAACTTTTCAATTCAATAAAAACTTATTACTCTGAATCATAAGCTATCGGAGAAATATTCATTTCTTCTTCATTATTTTTAAATATTAATTGAACCAGTGAAAAGAGTTTGTTTTTTTTTATTTATTTTGTGAAACAATTTTGATATTAATCTGAAATAGAAAATTATACAAATATAAAAGTAATATATGAAAATATTCTATAAACAATTGTAATTTTTTTTAAAGATTTTATTGTCCCATTTTACAAGTTTTTTAAATATGCTAGAAAAATATTTTATTGCCTAATATAGATAAAAATTACATTTCTATTTATAATGTAACTGTCATATTTATACTATCCATAAAATTTATTTGTCATAATTCTTTAAAATTTCGTATAACAAGCGTAAAATAATAAAAATGGGATTTACCTAATTGCATCTTCTCATTATTTATACGAATATGCAAAATATGACATGACATTAAACTTTGGTGTTGTTTATATATAAGATCTATTGCATAACAATATCAAGACTTACACTTTTCAATAGTTTTAATAAACTAAAATATAGATGAGGAGGCTCATAGAGGGAATGCGCTTATAAAATATTAGTAAGGGATTCTGGCAGCAACATATAAGAGTTGTATAATCTCGAAATAAAAGTATATGAATAAAACTGCTGCATATTTTAAACACAATTTGTAAAGTTAAATATCTTTTAAGACAAAATTATTATTAAAATTCTTTAAAACTCTAGAAGCAGTCTATAATATTTTATAGTCGCATTTTCGCTCAGCGCCTCCTCTAATAATACTTTTAAAAATAGTTTACTTATAAACTTAATATCAGGAATGTCAGCAATAACAACGAATGTATACGGAATCATTTTTTTTCAAATATTATACAAAAGGAATTCGTTATATTTTTTATTTACAAATTGTCTTTTATATTTTTACTTCTAAGCAACAATAGTTTACAATATAATATTTACATCTTCAAACTTTTAATTACTTTATAAATATACGAAATTATATTGTATATAAACTTGCGTAAATTTCAGAATTTTCATTAAAATATACACTTTATTTACATTTTAAATATATATTGGAAGATAATTAAAGCATTGTTTATATCCATAGAAAATATATGTAATATTTGCAATCAATAAATCTATGTGCCGGCCAACATTGTGCATTGCAATAAAAACCAGTATTATTGCTTTTTTACATAATCAATATTCATATATGTACAAATTCAATTGAGTGTTTTAGTTGATTTAAATATAGGACTGGCATTTTAGATCTGAATTGAGTATTATATATAATAAATGTTTTTGGTTACATAATTAATAAATATGAAAATCAATTATTCTAAACAATTTGCGGCTAAACTACTAATATTTTTTAAAAACAACTAATGATTTATATTAAAACATGCCGCATTTAATGATAATCTGTACATCATTTTGAAATACGTTAGAACGAAAATCTTAAATTCATACCATATTTCTAAACGACTATTCTCTTGCACATATAAATCTAAAATTTCAAGGCGGTCAATATTTACATATACTTAACATACCATACATTGAGTTTCTTATTATCACCATTATTTATTTTATAATCACAAAACGATTATCAAAAATGGAAGATTTATGGACGAGTAAGTCTTAAGAACACTTACTGACAGTGTTTTATACTACTATATTCTGTATAAAATTTCATTATTTAAATCATAAAAAATCAATTGCTATAACACGTTTTTCTAACACCAGCCAAAATCACGCTGAAGTCATCATCGCCCTTTAAGGCTTGAACATCAGCCTGGGCTACAAATTCGCCAGCGTATTGATTCATGACAGGTGGCAACATATCCATCTTCAGAGGTGTACTGGGTACAATAATTTGACCGTTTGGTAATACAGGGTCGTAATACATTCTATCGGTTCCGTAGTAAGAACCTGCGTTTGAATGGAATCCATCATTAACCGTGTGATATTCTGTTGTCAGTTCGGGGCCTGGATAGTACGGATCTGAATGATATGTTGGCGGTTGCACTATTTCCTGATAATTGTGGTTGCTGTCGGCTACATTTTGGGATACACCATACTTAAGATACTTGTCAAATTCCCTTGCGTCGACTTCACTATCCGGTGAGTCGTTAGATTCTGGATACACAGTAGCGTATTGTGGACATTGTTTTTCTGATTCGTACCCATTGCTCAAGACATGCTGAGCCTGGGGAGCTTGAGACTGATGTGTTGGATAACTTGAGAAATAATCGTATTCAGCTGTTGATTGAATTGAAGGCATTGTCATTATAGCCTGAGTGTTTGTTCCTAGATGTTGGTGATCTTGAGAAGTGGCTACCGGTGGAAAAAATGTTCCAGTTACTACTGGTCCTTGGTCCAGCAAACCTCTATTTGTGCACATTACATACATGCCATTTGCTACACCCATTGCAGCTATTGTCGATCCTGAAGCATTAGGATATGTTACAGAACTTCTATAAGAAGATTTCTGAAACTGTCTTTGTTTATCGTCATTATATTGACAGGTGGTAACCGCGTTTTCTTTTTCATGCTCCATTGGAGACATTTCAGGCGTTGGTAAAGCGTCTTCGGGTTGTTTCTTCTCCATTAATTTCTCGTCTTTATTAGACCTGGAGGTAGGCTCAGGAGACTGAGTGGGAGAGGATTCTGGCGTATGTAGAATATTGCCATAGCCCTTACTTGTCGGATAGCCAGTGTATCCGTTACTTAAATAACCCTGATGATACGGAGACATGTACTGGTTAGAGAGGGGACTGTTTACGCTCAACCTCGTTGAATAGTCATAGTCTAATCCTGGACTAGAGTAACCCAAACCTGGTGACATATCACCAGGATTGTTATTATTTGGAACATATCCACCTGGACTATGCAACCGGAATCGTTGTTGGTCTGCGGCCATTTGGTGATCAGGTGTTTGTGGCGTTTGAGGAACCGATCCTGGGGCCGTGCGACCTTTAGCGTGTTTGCGACGGCGTGGACGGTACTTGTAGTTCGGATGTTCTGTCATGTGGATGACGCGCAGACGTTCCGCTTCTTCGACGTAAGGCCTTCGATCAGTCGGAGTTAGAGAGCGCCACTTCTTACCTGGAAGATAAAAGACAAAATTGAATAAGATTAAAAAAAAATGAGCTACAAATATTTAGAACTAATTTGATGACATCATATTTTTTCTAAGCATTTATTGTTAATTTGCAACTACAATTAAAATGTAAGTGGCTTGGAATTTTAATTGGGAAAGAAATAATTTATAAATTTACTTAAAAAAATGTTCATAAATATAGATTTTTAACAATAAACAATATTTAGAAATTAAATCAGCTTAAAGTAAAAAGAACTGAGAGAAATATGTGGTCTTTGGTATAAAAAGATGCTATAAGTATTTGAAAATTATATAATTTTTTGCTTTCTTTATTCTTTTTTTTAACTTCCCGAAGGAGAAGATTATGTTTTCATCAATAAATCCGATTCGCTAATTTTGTGCTTTCTCGACGTTTCAAGCCATTCTGAATCGAATGAGACGAAATTTGGAAAAAGTATGCGTGTGTGCGTGTGTGCGTGTGTGTGAACAGATTTCTTGCCGTAAATCGACGTTTTCTCTCAAAAACAGTTGGACTTTCATTTCAAAAATTTAAAAGCCATTCGATGTATTTCAATGAGGACTAGCGTTTCTGAGTTTTGTGTGACGATCGGCCGAACCATTTCTTTGTAAATGGCAGAAAAGTGAAAAGATTTTCGTCCACGTTTTAGCCCGCAATTCTTAATCGATTTTGAAAATTCATAAACCAAAAGATATTAGTTGGGAATGATTCTGATTAGTTTTAGATGAAAATCTACCGGTTTTCTTGTAATTAACTGTTGAAAAAAAAATTAAGCCGATTTTTATAGAACTCTTTTTGGCGATATATATCATGGTCTTATAGAACTTACTGATATATTACGGCCTTACGACAAGTAGTATAATTTTAAAAATTTATCAAAGTTTGAGAAAATGAGTAGTTTTTTTGACATTTGTTAATATTACAATTAGAGAATTTACTTGGTATAATGATAGTAGTACTTGGTCCTAATAAACATACTAAATCATTAAAGTCCTGCGGAAACTGATTCAATTATATAAATTGTTGATTTTTGAAAATTTGCTTTTAGAAAATACTACGCGTTAACGTGTTCGTTCGTTTTCAATTATGTGTAATAAATGCACTCTGAATACTTTTAATAGCTCATAAATTAATTTATTTTTTATTGATTAAGTAGATTATTTACACATATCGGGAAGTTCATGTAACTTGCCTCAAGGCTAAATACCAAAACCAACTAGTTTGATGATTTTACTAAATAGAATTTTTGAATTTTGCGTAACTAGCTATCAATAATTTGTTGTATTTTCATATCAAAAAAATTGTTTACTACTCTATCCAACTCCGGTCTCTTCAAGTGATCAATTCAGACGCCCATCTTGACTTGAAAAGTTCATTTTGAGGATGATATTCTCATGTTGTTGAGGACTTATGTATTAATGCTTGTAATTATTTTTATTAAAATCAATGAACCTATGTCATTACTAAATATTTTGATCAATTTTATTAAAATAATTAAGTGTTTGGTTGAATTTTGATCAATTTTTCTTTTTTTACCATTGGGCGAAACGATGTACTTGTACATGACATAGTACTATTTCGGAAGTATCACAGAATTAAAAAAAATTAAATCCTATCAAAGGTGATCCACCGGTAAAAAAAAATTGCATTTGTTGCAAATCCCTTTTTTTGTTATGACTTCTACGAAGATTAATTACATGTGGTGAGAATCACTATTATGAATTTGATATAAGCGGACTGTATTTTATAAATATTCCATCACCATAAGATATGTTAATAAAACCACTATTTAGATTATGATATATATTGAACTTTACTCTACAACCTTCTTCTTTCATTACATTTGCTAGTCTTCCCTAGTATTATAATTTACAGGTATTTATACTCATACCATTGTGTCCCCTACCCCGAAGGGTCCCGGATTTTCCTAGAAAAAGTCCTGGTCAAATCTTGACCAACATGTATGACTTAAAAAATCAACTACCAAAAAAATCAATTTATTTCTGAACTGCCTTCTTGAACTGCATTTCAGTATGATCTTAATCTGTATATTATTTTCTTTGTTACTATATGGACAAAATGGTTTTTGTAATTAGTTGCATTTTTTAAAATAAATATGCTATTATAGTTCCTACCTTATTTAAAAAAAAAACTATGTTAGTGACAATCAATGAACCACATACGACTAAAAACGATTGAGCCTAGTTATAATATCAGCAAAAATAGTCTATCCAACTATAAATAAATATCATTACAAAATAGAAAACAATGTAATTTTGTCTGTATTTCCTCTACATTTATCACATATCTTTCAAAGTACTAATTTAGATCAAAGTATTGCCGATAATTTCAAAATCCGTTCCACTAATTGAGGTCGTGATCGGTTTGAGTAGCTCTGGTATCTCAAACAAATTAGAAATGACATAACCCGGCCGAGTTCGCGCTATCGACGTGTCTTGAAAAATTGTTGTTATTTAAGTCTGACAGGTGACCGCGTGATTAATGATTGCTGCGCGATCGTTTGATTTCATCCAAAATCTATTTCAAGTAACGCCCGTTAATATGTTTGTACGATCAGTTTTATTGTTATCCTAGAGAGCGACCGCGGCGGGAGGTCCTTGCCGCGCCACGTGCACTCACGTGGACATTATTCATTAGAGAATTGCTTTTCTAACACCTTCGGCATATGATAAAATAAGTGAAATTCAAATGGGTATAAAAAATATTAATATCAAAATGATGAATAGTCAATATTCACTATATGTATATTTTAATATTTTAAAAATCGTTTTATGCATTTATGAGTTCAACACTTCGACTCGTCATGGTACTAGACTTCCTGCATAGGTTTGTTCAGTTTATAACTGAAATTTCTGAAGATAATATAATATAATTCACATTAGCGGGTCACAAAGGTCCATGTTGACTTTGTGAAAACCAAACCAAACCAATTATATTTCAACAAATAACCATATCAAACAAACAACTATCTGACTATGCTCAGTAGAACTCCCCAGCTAATTCATCATTGTATAAATGTTATTTTTAAAGTTTTTCAAAAAATTTGTCACCTAGTCCTTTTTACGCCATAGGCGGGGTAAAATGGGACGGCAAGGAGGAAAACAAATCTAATGTCTTATTTTTAATTTCGAAGAGTTTTACATATTAATTGCATTTCGTGGGTACTTTTTATGCAGAGATAACACTGTATATATAACCTTGATCTGGTATTTTGTCAGAAATGTTTATCAACAGAGTTGGAAGAGTTATTAATTTAATTCAACTCTTGTAAAATGTGTTTTCCTAACATTTTTTACTTTTTTATTCTCTATGATATTTTGTATTGTTCACACCTTTGCCAGGGTTATGAATCAATTGATCTCCTTTACCCTACGTTGGTCCTCTTACTTTACGTGTGAGTTTTTATAGACGTTATATAAAAATACATATTTTGAAACAATTAGATAACGTATACTTAAAAATTATATTAACCCTTACGGGACGGCACTGATTTCAAACAAATCTACTGTGCCGGCTGTAAACTTGATTTCATTGTATATGTTATGCAATTTGTTTGATAAAAAATTGTGGTCATTGAAGCACATACTTTTATAATATCAATTTATTTTTGATCATTTTATATATAATAGTAATGTTCAAAACAATTTTCAACATGCACAGCAGGTTGATTTTGACATGTTTCTCAATAAAATGATGTTGGCCGCCTTCCTTCTGGTGCTTTTCTGTCAGAACAGACTATACAATTTCTTTTTCTTCACTCGAGAACGATGCAGATGGATGGCCATATTTAAAAAAAAACTAGATATCAAAGAAAAAAGCTAAAAATACTTCTAAAATAACTAATAATTATTTTCAAAATACAACACTGTTTGTAACTGCTATTTGAAATCTATTCAACGTTTCGATGCAAACTGAGTCATTTTTTATAAAATAGCCTGTGCCTCACTGGATAGTCTGACAAAGTATCAGGTGGACGGCTGTCCCCAAAGAGTTAAGGTTCAGTAGACTAAACAACAGTGCTCATAACCAAAACATTAGACTAAGAATCCAATCATAAATGATATTTATTTTAGTGCTATTGTTCATTGTGTTTTTATATGTATGATATAATTAATATTATGTGATATAGTCTTCTTATATATGAAATCAATGTATGTTGGCAAAAATGTCCCTTTGGGATAAAGCCATTTAAATAAATAAAAACAAGAAAGAAAACTCCTAAATCTATTATCCATTTCAGGACAGGAGTGAAAACTACTATATAATATTGAAAATTTTAGCAATTTTTTATGCAAATTGATCTTCACGAAGTCAATAAAAGTCGATAAATCTTGTTTATCACCAAGTATAAATAGTGTCATCATATAATTGCAACTACAAGATATTTGAACCAAAGATTTAAACTATAACGTTAATATTTACCTTATAATATTGTAATATTAATATTTATTACACGTGTTATGAATTTGAAACCAATAAAAATGGTGATAAATATTTGAATTTCAAGTAAAAACTAATTATTTTTTTAAATTCAATCACAAATAAGAAAGTCATTAGATCGATTTAGAAGAACTGATTAAATGCTTTATCTGGTTTTTAATTTTAATCAAGTTATTAAAACGTAAAAACCCGTAATCAACGTTCGTCGAATATAATTTGCAATTACATGTCCACAGCGGTGTGTTAAGCGGTAATAATATTTTGTAAGATGTTAATTACTTGATAATGAACATAATTTTGATTAATCTTTAAAACAGTCTGTAATAACACAGACTGTTATAAATTAGAGAACATAAACCATTAGAGCTAATTTGAATATGTACTCATATTTCAGTAACTTTAGTGTTGTTATTAGGTGTGATAATGGACGAATAATTTTTATTTAATTATGTTTTTACACATGTTCATGATGCATATCAAAAACTTTCCTACGAGCTTATGCGGTTAAATTAATATTTAATTTAC